ATCGGGATTAAGGATATCTCATCGGGATTAAGGATATCCCATCGGGATTAAGGATATCAAATCGGGATTAAGGATATCAAATCGGGATTAAGGATATCAAATCGGGATTAAGGATATCTAATTCTATTTTTATTATATTATATTTTAGCCCCGTGTGTCCCCATATATCCCATGGATTAAGGATATCTAATTCTATTTTTATTATATTATATTTTAGCCCCGTGTGTAGTTCCCCATATATCCCATGGATTTGTCTCGGATAGAAGTAGTGGCAGCTCGGTGGGACATAATCAAACTATTAAGGTAATTAAGATATTATCAAATTTTTAAAAAATGTATTCGGTCTGAAAGGGACTGTAATGTCAAAGATATTTTTATATTTTAGTTTTAAAGTGTTTAATTCTGATAATTCGTTTGTTTTCCTATGTTTTCCTGATGTAGAAATGCGAAAGCTACTTTTGCAGAAAATCCCAGTTTTAAAAATTATAAACATGGACATCTAATTCACATTTGATAAGACAAAGATAACGTTTTTAAGGGTATCGTTGTGAATCAGGCAAATTGTCACCTTTGCATGGAGGGTCTCTTGAAATTTCGATTACAGTCCATATAAAAGTTGACTAAACAAAGCTTTAATTTAGCAATGAAATTAATAGTTTTTAAATTAGAAAAAAGACGATATCTTCCACACTTTAGATTCAGATAAAGATGTCAAGGGTGCCGTAAAAAATCGGGCATGTCCACTTTAACTTACCGTGACCGACAATCTCTTATTAATAATATTTTATTTTAAGTTTTATTATTTTTAATTTATTGAAGTTCTAGTTTTAACAAACAGTTAAATTAGTTTAGTTTGGGTTTGTCACAAGTTTTCAAATTATTCCTTATTTTACTTAAAGTTGATTAGTTGAACAAATTTTTGTAAATAAATTACTTTTGGATTATTTTTGGGAGGAGGGAGGGTGGGGGTGAAATAAAATTCACCAAGTATAAAATATATATGATCAAACAGTATATTTGCTATGTTAGTCTCTGCCCGTAAGCCATCTTGCATGAAAAACTTTTTTTTCAATTATTAGATTGCCAAATACATTTATATGCATAGTTTGCTTGTATGACAGTTTGTATCCAATAATCGTCAAAACAGCAGAACCAATCGGGCCCAAAATGTTTTAGGCTACTCACATAACTCCAGGGAAGTTTTATGGATGCTCAAAACATCAAAAATGTGTCTTCAAATTTCGTTTTTTATAAAATCATGAAAATCCATGAAAAAACTTTAATTAAATTTTTTTTTGTTATAGTTTTATACTGTACAAAGAAAAGATAATCGCAGACATAAAGATGAAATAGAAGATGGGCGCGAAGCGCTTTTATTCAATAATCTTAAAATCTCAAAAGGATCAGAAAGAAAAGATTTGACTAAACCATAGCGAGGTCATACTTAATGTATAGTGAGTTGAACTGCAGCACTGTAGATTAAACTATAAGAAGAACCCCATGATAAGGGAAACCAACTGAGCGGATATAGTATGAAGACCCCAAAACTCTGATTGATTGGTTTTAGTTCAAAAAAAAACTAGTATTTAAATGTCTTTAGATCTTATTTAACATTAAAAAGTTTTAAATCATAACTTTTTAATAGTAAATTTTTTTTTAAATACGTTTTTGCTTGCATGCAATGTATAAGAATGATTGTAGATTTTAATATTTTACACATTTCGTTAATTATGAAATTAAACATGAAATATTTATATATTATATTTAAATATGTAAATATAAATATATATACATCAAAAAAAAACCTTTTAGAGTATACTAGCGCTCTCATTATAACCTGAAACATTGCCATCGAGATAATAATAAAAGAAAGAAAAAAATTTTTTGCTTCAATTTTGAAAATGTCCGAAATTTTAATAATTTAACTATGATGCGAGCTCTGTACAAGATCATTTGTAATCTAACTTAATTAAAATAAGGAAAGATTTTGTTAACAAGTAAATTTATTTAATCCTTTATGTACCTTAATCAAATCAAGCTTAAAATTCAATATAAATGATTGATTTCGCTAATATGTTTCGTATGACATTTAAAATATGCATTTTGCCGTTTTGAATTTGATTTAGTTTTGACATTTTCTAATGAACAAAAATATTTTTATAAATGATTTAATCAAAAATCTTTTTACCTCTTTTAAAGGAGCCTTTGCCAAAAACTCTGATTTTCTAATCCTTGAATCTTTACAACCCAATGTCGTAGACCTCAGATATTTCAAACTATGAATTCTGTGATATCGAAAAGTCTAATATTGAAATATCAAAGGTTTACACCATTACGTTGCAGAGATATTGGACTTAGACAATTTGAGTTTGTGGCAAATACTCAGTTCCTTTGTCCAACATGTTATTAGAAACGCAAAATAAATAAATAAAATAGGCCTTTCATGAGACCAGCAGGCACAGTAAAAAGTCTAGCCGCGCCATCAAAGTGGAAACCGGTCCGATATAGGAAAGGTGCCGGGCAGTACTAGCTGTGCGTCACTAAGACCGGTACAAGGGGTCGATCCGGTCCGGTTCAAATTTTAAATTGAACCAAGTCCACCGTGAAAGTAAGTGCGAACTTCTGTAAGTCTGACGACGAGTTCAAGAGACTGTAGTCGTAATTTCAAGTGACCATTTATAGTGTGGAATGTCCGATTGACAGCGGTACCAGCTATTAATCTTTTTATGAGTAACAATGAGGAAGATATCATCTTTATCTTTCTAAAAAAATGTATAAAATTCTTTAAGTCACTTTCACCAATAAACCTCAATTGTAAGGAATTCATTTTTTAGCTAGAAAATAAGAATATCTTTTTCTTTCTTGTTCAGACAAAAACCTATTGTGAATTAATCATGCCACATTATTGATAATTTTTAAAAGAAAGTTTTTTTTCGCTTCTTTAAAACATATTGTATGCAGGATCGATGCGCACTAATTAACTGTAAAAATTGATTTTTGTAGCATTAGACAACTTTACCACAGCTAAAATTTTCACAATATCTTTGCATGGTTTAAACATTTGATAGTTCAAATTTTCAAACAAAATTCATAGTTTGAAATATAAAAGGTCTAAAACAATATGAAGCCTTAAATACGTTTAGCGGCTTTTGATAAGTCTTATCAAGTCAAGTCACTGATACTTGATTTGGTAAGTAATTCTTTCCGCTTGTGAGTTTAATAGATAAAAAATTCGATTTATTTTTTTAAAGGGACCGTTCACTTATTTGGGTAATTTCCAATATTAAATTGTTGAAAACTTATGATTACCTAATTTTTAATATGACACGGGAGAAATTTATAGTGCACGACAAACTCAGAATATAAAAACTTCAAAATTCTAACAGACCTTCATGCATGGTGTTTTTGACATAAAGTAGTTTTTTCCTAATTCTAAAAATTGAGTATACTCTAAACCTTTCCATCTTTTATCAATTTACTTATCTTGTCTGCCTGTTGTTTGTATCCAATAAATGTCAAAACAATTGAACCTATCGGGCCAAAATTTTGTGTGGGACCTCACTTGATCAAAGGGAAGGTTTATGGATGATCAAAATTTCAAAATAATATTTTGATTAAATTTTGAAATCCACAAAATATGTTTATAAAATCCGCGAACATTTTTTGTAGATTTTCAATGTATGCAGAGAGAAAATGTTCACAATTCAAATAGAAGATCTAGTTATAAAAAACCTGATAACAACAAGTTATTTTTTCATCTAGGTTCCATAATGCTTCATGCTCTGTTATTTGATTGGTCCTATTTATTGGTATTTCTATGCAAAATCTGAAGAAATCAAATAGTTCTCTGGAACTTTCTCCTGTTTATTTTCTTCTCATGCAACCATAACATTTTACATTCAATCCTTTTCATTAGCCTTTAACCTTCACAGCCATCTACAATATTATGCATTATACTATTGGACCGACCGAGTTTAAAGTTTCGTCAGTCCTCTCTCCTTATTACATTAGAAGTTGTTATTTATACAGCTCAAAAACTATTTAAATTTGATGATTCATACATTTTTTTCCTTTAGCAGTAATGCACAAGTCATTCTGCAGAGAAACTGCAATTGAAAATTAACAGTTTATAAAATTGAAAACATAGATATCTTATTCATACTTGAATTGACAAAGCTCTTAAGGATACCTTTGCGAATCGGACATGCCATTATATAACTGATAAGTCACTTAAAATTTCATCAACAGACCCTGTTTTAGTCATTAGGACTCTTTTTCTGCGTTCTGTTCGTGGAAAAAAAACACGTTATAATCTGTTTCGCGAAAAAAAAAATCGCATAAAAGAACCAAAAATGCGAAAATTTCACAATTTGTTGTTTTGTGAAACAGATTAATGCGAAATTTGGCGAGAATACAAATAATTTCGCGAAAAAAATTGCCAAATACGAAAAAATATTCGCTGAATTTAGCATATTTTCGCGAAACTTTTCGTTCGGTGGAAACACAATCCTTTTAAAAATCCCTGCAAGGAATGGGTCCTGCACTCCCCTCGATTTATTGCTATTCTGAAATCATGAAACACAATTTATTCTCTAGTTGGAAAATTTTCAAAAATATTTATCTTATCGGTTTTCAATACTAGATACTTTTCTCCAGACCAAAAATATCCTGCTGCCTTCAGAAATAGATTTTCTTTAAATTTTAAGAATTTTTATTAGCTTATAAGTATAGATGTATAGACTTTTTAACTTCTGTCATTGTTGACAAAAAAGCTGCAAAAAAGTTAAATGCCCCCCCCCCCATCAGCAGGGAGAGTTGTAATTCCAATGTCCAGCCATTTTTACTACTTCATTACAGGATGTTATCTATTTAACCTTTTTCACCATTCTCTTATGACAGTAGTACATTACTGAGAAACTAACTTTTTAGTCCAACCAGAAGTTTTTCTTTTTTTCTTTTTTTATTCTTCTTTTTTTGGATCTTTTATTTTTTCTTCTGGAGAAACATTTATAATTATATTTTTTATCGAACTTAACCAGTGACAACCAAAAAACTCTGGAATAAAAAGACGACTTTAGAATCAAGCTATAACTTTAAAAAGCCCAATGAGCATGAGATACAGCGATTGTTCAGTGTAAACTGACCCATTTAACTAAATTTGTTATTTTTTATGTGTTTAGTAAAACTATCATATATTTCCAGGTTGAATGTCTGTCTCAGTTCCAGCCTACCACTAACCGAAGTACAGTGTGCCACAACGGGACGTGGACAACTGTACCGAAGTGTATCCCAGCTAAGTGTACAGAGCTACCTGACGCACCCCGCAATGGAATGGTTGTGGCGCCAAAACTTGATCACGGAATGGTCGGAAAATTTGAATGCAGGTCATTTTTATTTCCAAGCAATAACATCGATTATTTACTATTGAAATGTAAGAGTCGACCTGATTTCAAGTGACCCTACATTTTAAGAGCAGCATTCGTATTTAAGATATCAAAGATATCGTCGTTTTTCTATCTATAAAGTTACGCAATTCTGACATTTTTGTTTCTATGATATGCTTCACAAAAATCCAAAACTGCACTTTAAAAATATCAATTTTCAGATAGAAAAACAAAAATACCATCATCATATTTTAGAAAAGAATCATTCTTTTCTTGAATCTTAACCCACAATCCACAAACACAAAATAATCGTATTGGGAACATAGTTAGAATTTAGAAAAACAAAACATTATATTAGAAATTAGAAACAAATGTTAAGAGTATGCACAAATTCAACCAACCTATATTTTATACATAAAACGTGGAGGGTACACTAGACTGGTCGGTACCTGTAAAATCAAATACAATACAATACAATATAACAATTGACCTGTCGGTACCTGTAAATGCAATTACAATACGATATCGCTTGACTGGCTGGTACCTGTAAATGCATATAAAATACAGAAACACTTAAGACCGGCCAGGCCTGTAAATGCAAATACAATACAATAACACTTGACCATCTGATACAAATAAATGCAAAGCCAATAAAATAACTCTTGATGGCCGGTACCTGTAAATTCAAGTTTGATACGATAACACTTGAGGGCCAGTACCTGTAAATTCAAATTTGTTACGATATCACTTGAGGGTCGGTACCTGTAAATTCAAATTTGATACGATAACACTTGAGGGCCAGTACCTGTAAATTCAAATTTGATACGATAACACTTGAGAGCCAGTACCTGTAAATTCAAATTTGATACAATATCACTTGAGGGCCAGTGCCTGTAAATTCAAATCTAATATGATAACACTTAAGGGCCNGGTCAGTACCTGTAAATTCAAATTTAATATGATAACTCTTGACGGTAAGTACCTGTAAATTCAAATCAAACATGATAACTCTTGACGGCCAATACCTGTAAATTCAAATTTAATATGATAACACTAGACAGTCGGTACCTGTAAATTCAAATTTCATATGATAACTCTTGACGGTCAGTACCTGTAAATTCAAATCTAATATGATAACTCTAGACGGCCAATACCTGTAAATTCAAATCTAATATGATAACTCTTGACAGTCAATACCTTTAAATTCAAATTTAATATGATAACACTTGACAGTCGGTATACCTGTAAATTCAAATTTCATAAGAAAACTCTTGACGGTCAGTACCTGTAAATTCAAATCTAATATGATAACTCTTGACGGCCAAAACCTGTAAATTCAAATTTAATATGATAACACTTGACAGTCAGTACCTGTAAATTCAAATCTAATAACTCTTGACGGCCGGTACCTGTAAATTTAAATCTAATACAATAACTCTTGACGGCCGATACCTGTATGTTACCGGGCCGATTTTTAAATTGCTAGATCAGGTAGTGCAGTACAAAAACTATAAAAGGCAAACCGGGAAGGTACAAAAAATTAATCAGCCCCTTCTTACAGGGAGAATCGAGTGTGAGTATGTTTGTCTGCACTGCGGTGTTGGTGTATATATATATATATATTCTGAGTGTAAATTAGAATATTCAGAAACCAAGATTACATGAATATATGCAGTACAGGGTGTCCCCAGAGAAACATGACAGTTGAGAAAAGCATGAAGATAGTCTCTGAAAGTTTAAACAATTTGCAGCATTGACAACCTACGATTATTTGAACAATAATCACAAAATTGTCCTTCCATTGACAACCTACGATTTTTTGAACAATAATCTCAAAATTGTCCTTCCATTGACAACCTACGATTTTTTGAACAATAATCACAAAATTGTCCTTCCATTGACAACCTACGATTTTTTGAACAATAATCACAAAATTGTCCTACCATTTCCAAAATGTGATCACCCTTTTGGACTTGACTGTCATATTTCTTGGGACACCCTGTTGGTTGGTATATAGACCAACCAAACATAATTAGGAAATACTACTAGTTAAAAATATTTTACTCTTTACTCATTTACTTTGATAATTTACAGAAATTCTAAAGATTTTTATCTAATCCTTGAATTAACCCCTAAGACACTTGGACATAAAGCCGCTATTTTTGGAGACTTTTCTCAATAAATATAAGAGTTCTTTTAATTGTTCAATTGTGATTAACATTCTGAACTAGGAAATCACATTAAACTAAGCTGGTAGGTCAAATAGATAGTTAGTTAACGATACTGAATATAATTGGTTACACATATCAAGATATGTTTTTGGATAGGGAAGGAGTTGATTGGAAGGAAGGAGATTGTCAGGTGATCTGTGGCAGGGTGAAATCAGAGGGATTAATGTAGAGATAAATTAAAATACAGGGTGTTAAGGATGGTGGATACACAAGCACAAATAATCAAATAAAGTTTCAGTTTTCAAAAGTTTTTTATATATAAAATTTATTCACATGATATACAACTAGCAAAGCATTTAAACCTCTAATAATTCTCAAGATAAACATTGATTACTCTTTGTTTAAATATTTTTGCAGATTTAGTTTCTTTACAATTTACAATTTATAATTAACATAATTTCGCGAAAATTAAATTGATTTTTTCACAAACACTGATTTTTCATCGATATACACATATCTTTGCAACCCGAGTGTCATAGACCTTAGATATTTCAAACTATGAATTCTGTTAGATCAAATTAGATCAGAACATTTGAGTTTGATGCATACACTCGATTCCTTTGGATATCCTCTGAACGAGGTCGAAATTAAACAAATGTTGGATATCCTCTGAACGAGGTCGAAATTAAACAAATGTTGGATATCCTCTGAACGAGGTCGAAATTAAACAAATGTTGGATATCCTCTGAACGAGGCCGAAATTAAACAAATTTTGGATATCCTATGCACGAGGTCGAAATTAAACAAATGTTGAATATCCTCTGCACGAGGCCGAAATTAAACTAATGTTGGATATCCTCGAGTCCGAAATTAATCAAATGTTGGATATCCTCTGAACGAGGCCGAGATTAAAAGTTCATCATTTTTCACTGCTTGATTCTTTAGGGTAAAGATAAGATTAATATGTAAAAATGTTTAAAGATAAATTTTTGACATGTTTAAAGAAGTGCAAACTGCAAAGTATGATAAAAGATAAGTTCTTTGTTTCATTTTGAAAGATTATTTATTTAAAACCCAAATTTTAAGATATGAATTTATATTTGCAAATATTTCATTAAATAAATACTTTTCAGGCGATGTGAACAAAAAACATTTAATTTTAAAGATTAGAAATTACGTTTTTACACTAAGTACAGTCTGAACTCAACACATCGAATATTTTACTTTAAAAGCAGTCTCCAAACATCCGAAAGAAAATATTTCTTTTCTGCCAATTCTCGAAAGTGAAAACAGCTTGCTTCGTGTAATAATGAGAATAAGTCCGACAACCTTGATCAGCCANTCTATCTTTCTATCTATCTTTCTTATTATCTATCTATTTATATATATATCTGTTTATTTATATCTTATCCTTGGCCGATGGAAAAGTAATTTGCAACTCTTCATTTGATCCTCATCCATCTATCTATCTATCTATCTATCTATCATCCATCTATCTATCTATCTATCTATCTATCTCTCTATCTATCTATCTATCATCCATCTATCTATCTATCATTTTATCCGATCCTAATCTAATCTTATAGTTCTCACTAGAAACTAAACCAGTCCCCCCCATACTTCCACTCATCTTTAAAATCCTTCCTTCATTTTAAACAAAATTACCGATTTCCTTTAAAAGTTGCACAAGTATTATAATTCAAAAAGTCAATTTTTTTCCCCAAAAGGAATAGAGACTCTGTCACAAACTCTGCTTTTCTAATCCTTTGTCTTGACATCCCAATATCGTAGACCTTCAGATATTTCAAACTATGAATTCTCTTAGATCACGGTATCCAAGTTTGAAATATCAAAGGTTTACTCCATCAGGTTGCAAAGACATAGGAATTAGTAAATTTGGGTTTGTAGCAAACACTCAATTCCATATTCGATCCAATCATATTCTCTGCTCTTTTTTCAGCATCCTTTTAAACAAACTTATTTCATGTTAGTTATGGGGTTTTTTTGTAGACTGTATTTCATATTTTTTTTCGAGATATTTAATCGAATATTATGGAGAAGGAAAACAGTTCTTCAACTTCAAAACCGGATCGACTTTGAAGTTTTTGCTTACTTGTAGTAAATGCCGTACTCATAAAACTGCTATCAGAACCGTATCAGTCCAGGTACAACTCGTAAACTATCAATGCCAAAGGAGTGCACGATCTCATAGGCTTCAATGCCAACACGAACATAAGCTCCAAACTATCAATGCCAAACCAATGGGCACGATCTCATAGGCTTCAATGCCAACACGGACATAAGCTACAATCAATACCAAACCAATGGGCATGATCTCATAGGCTTTAATGCCATCACGGACACAAGCTCCAAACTATCAATGCCAAACAAATGGGCACGAGATCGTAGGCTTCAATCTCAACATGGACACAAGCTCCAAACTATCAATTCCAAACCAATGTGCACGATCTCATAGGCTTCAATGTCAACACGGACACAAGCTCCAAACTATCAATGCCAAACCAATGGGCACGATAAAGTACTACGTAATTTATCTAGGTATGTTAAACTGTATTTATTACATACTGAGTTATTATTTATACTTATTTTTTAGCTCTAACATTTACATTTTTAGAATTCTTAAACGCTTGTTTCTAGCCTCAGCATAAAAGGAGTAATTTGCAATACGTCATGATGGTAGAGTTTTGTGTGAGCGAATTTTCATTTTAATTCACATGATTTCTTATTTAGGTATCTCTGGTTAGTTTGGCAATGTATTTTGTATTCCTTTACATTAGGGCTGGGAAAAGTTCCATTAACGATTTGAACATTTTTTTTAATTAACGGATGATTCTGATAAAACGGTTAATTTTTGAGCTGTAACCGATTTCTAAAATATTTTTGGTTATTATTTTTAATAAGATTGAGATCGATAAAGAACAGTCACTTTAAAAAAGAACAAAAAATACCGTAAACGGAACAAAACTTCTGGTTCATAGCTAAGACATTCGTCTTTTGAACGATTTATCTCAGGGTGAACGAACCGCTGGAAAAAAAGTGTGACCGAGCCCAGCTCTAATTTCTATTTATTGTCTTTGGCGGGGCTTGAGCAGTCATACGGGCTCAATCAGGATTCTGCGGGGCTCGAGCATGGTTCTGCTAACTACCTGGGTTCGAACAGGATATTGCGGGGCTCATGGTCGCATGGCCCCCATCTCCCTCATTCCTAATTTCCAGCTCTATTTAATGTTTGTGTTATCCAATATCTGTGTGGTGTGAAAGAAAAAGGAAAAAGTTGTAAAACCCCAGAAACTCTCACCTTTTCTCATCTATCTGTATAATCAGATGGATGGGGAAATTTTTTCTAAAGGGACAGTTCTCAAAAATTCAACAGTTCTTATAGGGACTGTTCTCAAACATTCAACACTTCTTAAAGGGACTGTTCTCAAACATTCAACACTTGTTAAAGGAACTGTTCTCAAACATTCAACAGTTCTTTAAGGGACTGTACTCAAACATTCCACACTTCTTAAAGGGACTGTTCTTAAACATTCAACAGTTTATAAAGGGACTGTTCATCAAACATTCAACAGTTCTAAAAAGGACTGTTCTCAAACATTCAACACTTCTTAAAGGGACTGTTCTCAAAAATTCAACATTTCTTAAAGGGACTGTTCATCAAACATTCAAAACTTCTTAAAGGAATTGTTATCAAACATTCAACACTTCTTAAAGGGACTGTTCTCAAACATTCAACACTTCTTAAAGGGACTGTTCATCAAACATTAATCACTTCTTAAAGTAATTGTTATCAAACATTCAACACTTCTTAATTGGACAGTTCTTAAAGGGACTGTTTATTTAGAGAGTGGTATGTCCTGTTTAGAGTGTGGTATGTCCTATTTAGAGAGTGGTATGTCCTATTTAGAGAGTGGTATGTCCTATTTAGAGAGGAGTATGTCCTATTTAGAGACATGGTATGTCCTATTTAGTGAGTGGTATGACCTATTTAGAGAGTGATATGTCCTATTTAGAGAGTGGTATGTCCTATTTAGAGAGTGATATGTCCTATTTAGAGAGTGGTATTTCCTATTTAGAGAGTATGTCCTATTTAGAGAGTGTTATGTCCTATTTAGAGAGTGGTATGTCCGTTGGGTATAGGACATGACATTCTAATAATGGAATGGCACTTGAAGTTCCGTGTACAGTTCCCTTTTATTAATTCACTTTTCTGTTACCCTAGACTTATATTTTACTGCATGAACTAATCAAATATTTAATCTAACATTGTCAAAACTTGTTTGAAGTTAATGTTTGTTTTGTATTTAATTACATTTATTCAACTTTAATTTGTTAAAAGTAAAAGAACCACTTAATGTTTAATTTAATTTATTTCTAAAATCTACAGGAAAAAATTTAGATTATTTATTTAAATTTATAAAAGCTTATTCTCAATGATTAAATGATATATAAAAAAAAATTCTAAAAAATACAGGCATTTATTTATGAAAAAATAGTGTTTTTTTAGGACTTCATTTTCCCTTATACTTTACCGCGCTATAGGTGCATACCTCTGAAGATGATAATAAATTGCATAATACAATAATATAATTAGCAACTAAAGTCAAATTAAATCAAAACATCCATCCCTATTGATTAGAGTCAGAATAGTTGAACAATTTACAGATTGGTATACAGTCATCGTCGTATATATCAGTACAATGTAGACGACTTTTGATTTTTATCAAGCTGTTAAACAACATGAATATTTTTTTATCTTCTCTTGGTTTACTTGTAAACTTGTAATTCAAAACTTAAAAAGTCGTCTTCAATGTATTGATATAATCGCCTACCACTATATAGAACATGTCGTCGTTGTATTCTAGGTGAAAATGTTGGGATTTGGATATAATTTTTTTCCAATTATTTGTTGGTGATTAGAATTTACCCACAGTGGACTTATTTCTCAAAGAACCTGAGACCGAAATTAAAGAATTTAAGCGGCAGTTTTAATTTAAGCCGCGGCTCAAATATGGTCGGTTTCACTTAAAATTGTATTCAATTCACAACCCCAATCTCTCCTCAGATGGGGTTATTTTTGTACTGTAATTACTCTTAAAAGGACTGTAAAGGAAAAATGAAAGGGGGTATAGGATGAAACCTGAGTATCTCAGGCGTTAAACTATTATTACAAGACATCTATCTGATGTTTCTGTCTCGAGAAATTGATATAAAACTATAAAATTCTACATTCTGGTCTTGACCAGTAGCGAAACCTGGTTCAAATTGAACCAATTCAAAAATGTCTAACTCACTCTATATTCTCCCAACATATTGTTATTGTTACTTTTATCGCACTGTATATGACCTTACTGATGCGTACCGGCAAGTCTAGTGTACCCATGATGGATAGTAGGTCCGGCACGCTGTTGCATACCATCAGATTGATCTTAGATATTTCATTAAATGTTTTTTCTCTGATTTGTTTGTTTGCAATTAAGAAAATAAAACTTTATATAAAGAGAAAATCCCCTTTTCCTTTCCAGGGTTCAAGTATTCTAACCTTGGAATAATCTTTAGGATGGACCAACCTTGATTAACCATAGATGTATAAATATACAGATCTTGATTAACCATAGATGTATAAATATACAGATCTTGATTAACCATAAATGTAAAAATATGCAGATCTTGATTAACCATAAATGTATAAGTATACAGATCTTGATTAACCATAAATTTATAAATATACAGATCTTGATTAACCATAGATGTATAAATATGCAGATCTTGATTAACCATAAATGTATAAATATACAGATCTTGATTAACTATAGATGTATAAATATACAGATCTTGATTAACCAAAGAAATATAACTATACAGACCTTGATTAACCATCGAAATATAACAATACAGACCTTGATTAACTTTAGCTATGTATAAATTTATAAAAGTTGAAAAAACCAAAGAAGAATACATATGCAGATCCTACTGAAAGTCCCAATAAACTTCAATTTTTGCGGTTAGAAAGAATCAAGAACATAATAAAAACCTATTTATTTTATTCTATACATGTGCATTGTCCTGGGATGGATATATGCTGAAAGGGAATAATAAAACTGTATTCTATATATTCAGGGATGGATATATGCTGTAAGGGAATAATACAACTGTATTCTATGTCCAGGGATGGATATATGCTGAAAGGGAATAATACAACTGTATTCTAAATGTTCAGGGATGAATATATGTTGAAAGGGAATAATACAACTGTATTCTATATATTCAGGGATGGATATATGCTGTAAGGGAATAATACAACTGTATTCTATATGTTCAGGGATGGATATATGTTGAAAGGGAATAATACAACTGTATTCTATATGTTCAGGGATGGATATATGTTGAAAGGGAATAATACAACTGTATTCTATATGTTCAGGGATGGAAATATGCTGAAAGGGAATAATACAACTGTATTCTATATATTCAGGGATGGATATATGTTGAATGGGAATAATACAACTGTATTCTATATGTTCAGGGATGGATATATGTTGAAAGGGAATAATACAACTCAGTGCTTCTTTGGAAATTGGACTGGAATGACACCATGGTGTAAAGAAGGTAATTATTTGTACGTTTGTGAAATACACAGTCCTAAAAGATGAGGGGGGAGGCACATCGCACCCCTATTGCTTCTTTTTCGCAAATGCTGGAAGACAATACAGGTGCAGAAAAAAACTTCTGCGAAAGAGGGCGCTGTCGCAAATCCATTTTGTTGCCTCATTTGTGGACAGGAAGCAAAACGGGTGCGGCGTTCCTTCGACAAGTCCCCGTATAAAGAACTCTTGTATTGTGGATATCAAGGTAAATAATCGTGGCGTTGAAGGGGGGGGGAGCTTTGATCACGGAAACTCTTGTTTTGGGTATCCTTAATTCCGTTTGCTTAATCTAAATATCCACTGTTAACACTTTTTCTGCTTAATCCTCTCTTTTGTGTTCCATCCAATGACAGTTCTATCTTTGGTTTTGCGCAAAATTTTCCGGCTTCTGATTGGCTGTTCGGTTTCTGCAAACCACACTTATTCCTAGATATCCAATAAAGATTAAATTAATCTGCAGATTAACTAAAAAAGGAGATAAAGCCTCCACATTAAAGGGTTTCCAGCTTTGTTCAAGTCTGATTTGTGTGTGCTGAACCTTTTAGTATTTTATCTTGTCTTCAAACTTTACTCCAATTACTTGATTACTCTCCTACACACGTTGGTCAGCAACTTATACTCAGGATAGGGGGGGGGAATCAAGAA